TGTTGACTATGAGGGCTACTCCATTCCTTCTACGGGATTCTTGCTCACAATAGTAGATATGATAATCATCTGAGTTGAATTCACCCATTCCTGTCCATTTTAGTTTACTGATGCCCAGGATGTCAATGTTTATTATTACCAGCTCCTGTTTGACCACCTCCAGCTTCCCAAGGTTCATAGATCTTACATTCCAGGTTCCTATACAGTATTTTTCTTTGCAGCATTGGACTTTCCTTTCACTTCCAGGCACATCCACAGCTGAGCATCCTTTCGGCTTTCGCACAACGACTTCATTAGCTCTGGAGCTACTTGTACTTGTCCTCCGCTCTTTATCAGTAGCTTGTTGGACGCCTTTTGACCCGAGGGGCCCATCTTCCAGCGTCATATCTTTTAGCCTTTTGTTTCTGATCATGGGGCGTTCTTGGCAAAGATACTGGAATGGCATTGCCATTTCCTACTCCAGGTGGATTGCATTTAGTCGGACCTCTCCACTGTGTCCTGTCCATCTTGGGTGTCCCTGCATATCTCATTACAACTTTTCCCACTCTTTTGTTGACTATGAGGGCTACTCCATTCCTTCTATGGGATTCTTGCCCACATTAGTAGATATGATCATCATCTGAGTTGAATTCGCCCATTCTTGTTCATTTAAGTTCACTGATGCCCACGATGTCAATGTTTATTCTTGCCGTCTCCTCTTTGATTATAATTATAACTAACACATCGCCTCTTTGTTAATTATAACTAACACATCCCTCTCCAATTACCATCTAACTAAATTCAGGTGTGGAGGACAGAAAAGTATCTCAAAATTATCAAGGAGGTTCAGGTGAAAGAAGTCATTCCTTAACAGCCGAAACTCAGCTTTCCTAGAGCTTTAAGAGCAACAGCAAATGTTTTTTGCTCAGACTTCACAAAGAGTGAGAATAAACAAGGTACCTCAACTAGAACAGGCTCCTGCTAGCAGGATCCATTCGTGAGCAGAGCTGCTCCTTTTCTGTCATTTTGAAAGGAGGAAGGCCTCCTCTAAAGATTTAAAACAATGGTATGGAAGAGGTAGTCCTTCACATATCTACCTGTCTTTATGATATATGGTTTTTCAACCTATACACAACATTTTGATAGAGCCATCAATCAGGAATACAGGAAACTGAACTTCCACTATGTTATTTGGCAAATAATGTTTTAAAGTAAAACTGGGTTGGAACATGCTGAATATCAGCTTGATGAGTTAAATAAGAAGTCCTCTAGCACACTGGTTCTTAACCTTGGGTTACTCAGGAGTTTTAGACTGCAACTCCCAGAAGCCTTCACCACCAGCTTTGCTGACTGGGGTTTCTGGGAGTTGCAGTTCAAAAGCATCTGAGTAACAAAGGTTAAGAACCACTGCTCTAGCAGTAAAATGTGGATTGGAATTTTGTATATCTGAAATTTGTAAACAGTATGGTTGTAATCTATAATTTGAACTGTAAATGTAATCAACTAAAATGCTGCTACCTTCCATAACCAGTGGACTGACATATTCCCATGCAGACAGCATCTTTTTTAAGGAACTGGGTTCAGATTTATGATAAAGATCAATTCTATTACTCAACTTCATTTTAACTGCACAAGGATATTTCCCAACGGTAACTGAAGTGCTCCTAGCAGTTTTGAGTGAAGGCAAGTGGCTCTATAGCAAAATATGACACTGCAGAATACTACCATTCAGAGGCTATGTTAGTCCTACTGATGTTAGTCTTACCTAGAGTGTGTTCACTGAAATTGATAGGTCTTACATTAATTATAACTAACACATCCCATTCTTTTCACTGAGTTTACTCTGGATAGGAGTAACATTAGATTTAACTCTAGAACTCCAATAATGCAATTTTTTAAGCTAGTCCAATTTCATCAACATTAAAGAAGATTAGTTAAAGGAAATTACAATTTTTTAAAGCTTACTTGGTTTGTTGTTTGGTGATATTGTAACAAATCTTCTGATCATGCTTGGGGACTGCTGCAAAGGAGGAGTTCTGCATTGCCTTTCATCCACATCAGTATGGGATGTCAGTAATTCTCCCACCAAGATCCTCTCTAAACTGCCATCATCCATCCCTTTTCCAAGCCATCTCCCACATGGAAACCTAAGGATATGAAGAAAAAGTAAGTGCTGTACAGCTATTATAACCTGATTTTGCTTTTTTAAAAAATAAAGGTGACATAAAAGTCACAGTAAATTATAGTTTCCCATTACATGAACTGGGAACTTTCAAACAAGCCAAGATTCAGAAGCCAGTGTTCTACCATGATACTTCAGGTCATTTTTAGTTTCAGCAAACAAAAGCTTAATTTAGTTGATATACACATGGAAAGCACCAAGCCACGCTCCTTAATGTAAAAAACTGATGAGTTTCATACCCAAAAGCTGTTAGGTGGATGGGTTTTGTGTTATATTATCTTATTTAATCAATTATTTGATACCACTGCCGCCATACTTCTGAAGGGGCAATACCAGCAAAACAGACTTTTTGAATGGGAGTAGGTTTCAGCCAGCCAGTAATAATCCTGATGATTCATTAAGAACTATGCATATCCATTTGTTTGCCATGTGCTCATTTATACCATATGGCACTAATGTATTCTCCTGTGGAGTAACACAGGGACAACACTGTTGTTGTTCTTATTGTTTGTGGCTTTGTATCTCAGTCTTTTGCCTTCCATGTATGTAACAAAACAACTGGATTTTAGCCAATGTTTCATTGGCTTTCATTGTCCAGATCAATAACTGGCTGATTTATATGATACAGAAAATAAATGCAGTCAATATCTTTATAATAGTACAAATGAGCTTTGGTGTAGGATTCAAAATGTATAATGTCTACATTCCATTTTAAAATAAATGCTGCTTACTTGTAAGTGTGACCTGTGACCTCATTTCTCACCATAACATATTCCACTAGCCACTTGGCATACAATCCAGAATTATCATGTCCTATTTGCACAGTGGTAAGCTTTCCCAGATTTTGACACTGAAAATGAAAATAAAATGAAAATAAATCTTCTAGATGAAAGCTGAAAGAAATGTTAGAGAGAGGAAGAAATATGGCCTAAAGTACAGGGCTCTAATGTGTAAATCCAGCAGTCTTTAAATACACATGTAATCACTATATTTGAAAGGGAAAAATATTTCAGATCAAAGGACAACAAAATATTCCAAAAATGTAGGGAGAGACTTAATCTTCCCTCTCTGGCACAACCTAGTTTAATGGTCATAATTGTGTACAATACTTTTGTGGGCTCACACAAACTAAACATTCAAAGGTCAGAGATTTGCATTATATGTCTTCTCTAGTTTTCTTCTTTATGTCTATATGCTAACACATACCTCAAATGTCATTTCTAATGTATTCCTTGGAATCTGTAGAACTCCTGTTTCACCAAGTTCTCCTGAAATACATATCCATGGATTGGCTGTGAACATTGAGCCACCTAGCTTTTTGCTAGGAACAATCAATATATGGTATGGAATCACTGTGAAAATGAGAAACAGCCTGGCTAAAATAAGCAAGTCTCCAGTAATGAATGCAAATACCATCAATGCACTAAAATAAGGACATTGTACTGAATGAAATCCACTTGTGAATCACGAGTACAGCAGACTCACTGAATGGATAAGGCTTGGGAAGTAAGCACTGCTGCAATCCCTGTTGGTTCAACAGATGTGCTATCACTGGAACCAGCATCAAGTCCAATAAAGAACTAGGTTTAGTTCAAGGTACTCTTGCCAAATATCATATAATAATAAAATGCATTAAAAATTAGTAAACAAAATATGTTAACAAAAAACACAGAGGAAAAGGAATAAGCTAAATGGAGCATGAGGGGACAGAAGTAATCATTTTACCTCTTTATGATCTGCTGCATTAAAATTCTGCTCCCATTCAACCTAGTTCTAATATCAGAAGTGAGCTGACTGAGGAGAGCAGAGGAAAGAATCTTCAAGTAACAAAGTGAAGAGGTGTAAAGAAGGCAAGTTGTGCTCCTATTCCATGCACAATACTGGAGTGGGGAAAGCTTACTAAAAACTATATACAGGTGGGAAATAAAGACAAAGGTTCTAAGAATGCTCCCAAAGTACTACCTCGGTAGTGAATGAAAGGCAACTACAGGGTAGGGAACATGGGTACTGGAGAGAATGTGAACTAATTAACTCTTTTAGGCTCTGGAATGTTCCGAAAGTCTTCACATAGGCACAGAACAAATCCAAATGCATGATTCAGAGACCATGAAGAAGTCCAAGTACAAGAAGAACCTGGACTTTACAGTGCAGAGACGAAGATTGAACTAAATCCCTCTGACACAACTTCTTAATTTTTTTCTCTCTACTCAAGTCTTTATATACCAGCCATCTGAAGATAATATGTTATACATCTGATGAAGTAGACTCTGGTCCTTAAAAGCATAGAGTATAATAAATTAGTTAGCCTTTAAGATGCCACAATATGCTTTGCTGGCATTGTTTTCAAGGAATGAAAATGTATACTTTATACTTACAGATTGTTGTAAAGACATTGGTAAAGCAGAAATAATCAACAGCACTGAATGACAGGAGATGATAAAGGAACTGCTCTTTCTCATCATCACAGCGGAGGAAGGCATAATGTTTATAGAGTTTTCTGACAAAAAGCAAAACAAAAATTATGGGAATACATTAAGACCTTCCAAGCAAAAGACAGGAATGCATGTTATCACAACCAGTATGTACATTACAACCAAAAGGCATCACCAAACAAGATTTCGAACCTCCTCATGGCATATATTTTTCATGTAAGCCAGCATACTCTGTATCACTTACTATATATTTCAGTTATGAATGCTGTTTTTCCAAACCTTTTCTGTAAAAAAGGTATCTAGGTTTTCTTTGATACCTGCACTTTGTCAGAATCTGGCTGACCCACGTCACCATGTTCCTCTATAAAGAACTGACAGTGTGATTACTGAGCTTACTAAGAAATCAGTAGCCCTATACTAATTACACCTGCGAGTTACAGGTTAATCTAAGATTCCCAATCTTTCAACATCACATAACACTTCATGATTTCTCTATGAGCAGTGTGAAGTAATTAGATCCCACATCACACACAGAGGAACCATGAAATGAATATACAAGGTAAGGCAGACTTATATGTCAAAAAAAAAGATATCACAGTTCCTGAGAATGGTAACTGCATTTTTTTTAAGTTTCTGGAAATTACACCTGAGAGAAAGGTGTTTTCCAAAACTGATAGGGAGATTAAATGGCAGTATCTAGAGGAAGAGGAAGATACTACACTAAAGACAAATGGAGGAGCACATCATAGTTGCTCTGAGAGAGAGATAGGTTAATTCACAAGTTCATTCATGCACCACTGAGGTAGTATGGTCCCACCAGATGCTAGGGATGAGTGAAAATTTTATTTGATTCACTTTTTGATGTGAACTTCCCTACTTTGCACTGTTTATGCTTACAGATGAATAAGAATATTGTCTGTACTTTATGGAATTCTGTAATCAAGTTACTTAACAAAAATATGAATTAGGAAAAAACTGTAAAATGCATGAAATCTTGATACGTCATGAAGGAATGTATGCATTTGAAAAGATGTAAATAAAATGCATAGTTTAGGAAAAATACACATATTTTAAATACCTATTTTTGAAAACAAAATTCACAAATGTGTGCAGAAATAGAATAAAACAAACAAAATGAAAAGAAACCCCTTCATGGATTGCTGCCTTGTCATGGCGAAGGGGCTTGAGTAACTCAGAGAAGCTATGGGCTATGCCGTGCAGGGACACCCAAGACGGACAGGACACAGTGGAGAGGTCCGACTAAATGCAATCCACCTGGAGTAGGAAATGGCAATGCCACTCCAGTATCTTTGCCAAGAACGCCCCATGATCAGAAACAAAAGGCTAAAAGATATGACGCTGGAAGATGGGCCCCTCGGGTCAAAAGGCGTCCAACAAGCTACTGATAAAGAGCGGAGGACAAGTACAAGTAGCTCCAGAGCTAATGAAGTCGTTGTGCGAAAGCCGAAAGGATGCTCAGCTGTGGATGTGCCTGGAAGTGAAAGGAAAGTCCAATGCTGCAAAGAAAAATACTGTATAGGAACCTGGAATGTAAGATCTATGAACCTTGGGAAGCTGGAGGTGGTCAAACAGGAGCTGGTAATAATAAACATTGACATCCTGGGCATCAGTAAACTAAAATGGACAGGAATGGGTGAATTCAACTCAGATGATTATCATATCTACTA